TTCATGGGTAGGGTTATAAGTAGGGTAACTATAGGTATAACCCATACTAGGGGATTTCTAAACCCTACTTATTAATTATGACTACTCATGAACCTCCAGGTAGACCCTTAACTGGCACGTCTGCTAGGGAGGCTAGCAGGTAGGGGTCTGTGATAGGCACCCGTTCCGGTCGAAAAATCTTCCGGCGACTAGCACAAGAAGCTGGGTCATGGACCATGAAGCGTCCTGCGATATGGGCCGTCGACCGTTGCACGAAAACGGCATTCAACGGCAAACAACTGAACTCAAGGTTATGATCCGCAGGCAATGTTCGACTCCAAGTTCACAGAGCATTGTCTGAAGCCATCTCGTCTTGAAGCAGGCAGGGTAACTAGCAAACTGCCGTGCTCCAGCATTACGACTACTGCCTCCAGATGCCATGACCCATGTAAGCAAAAGATACAATACAAAGACTGTAGAAACCTCCCATGTGCCGATGAACCCTCACGTCAACTCCCTGGCAAGGCACCGTTGAAACCAAGTAGTCGTAGGCATCGCCGCGCAAGCAAGCCATGGAGGGCAGGAACGCATCCAGATGCGAGATGGCCTCAGAGGCTCCACAACCCCTGAATTCAGGAATCTATCTTTCAATGTGGCCGAGTCTTAATACGACTTAGGGCATTTAGGGTATCAGGGACTTGCAGGTTTTAGAGTGGCGTCTTCTGGTGTGCATGAACGTGGGATGGCGGTTTTGAGACTCTCAGCTTGGGAAAGGCCCCCAAGAAAGCTGCCACAAGCACTGCATTCTGAGCAGGTAAACAGCGGAAAAATGACGTTTTAGGTCCGAACTCCTTACGATGATGGTTTTGGTACCGAAAATCCTGCTATTTGGGCACTTGAAACCTATTGGAGAGCCTCTGTGACACCGGGTGAACTTGTAGGGTGTAGTGTTGTCTTCAGAGCATGCAGCCATTAAGCCACACAGTGCGTCAAGTATGTAGACATAAATCCCGAAAAGCCGGAACCTGTAAGCCCATACCCTAAACCGTAAACCCTAAACCCTAAGCCCATAAACCTTTAAAAGCAAACCTGAAGCCCTAAACCCTACGCCTCTGCGACAACTCTCGAACCGTGAGCTAAAGCCTAAACCCTCAAGCCCTAATAAACCCTGAACCCTACCTGGACCCGAAATATCCACCTTTTTTCAGACCTCTATAAGGAGATCATAACCAAGGAGCCCGCAAACGGTCGACGATTCGGGGGCCAAGCTGAACCTTACGAACCCTGCACCCTATAGACCTTACAGACCCTGAACCCTGAAACCTGGAACCCGAAAGCCTAAACCTTATGAGCTCTAGACCTTACGAACCCTAAACCCTCAACCCTGAAACTTATATGAACCCTAACCCCCCGACAACCCTGAACCCTAAACCGTATAACCCTGAACCCTGAACCCTGAACCCTAAGCCCTACTCTAAGGGTCCAAGTACCTAATCATCATATACTCTTCCAAATACATACCCAAACAACTACTATCCGCAAACAAAGTGCCTCATTATGGAGTTCATTGGACCCTAAAGCCCTAAACCCAAAGCCCTAAACCCTAAACATTAAAACCTGAACCCTTAGCCCTAAAGCCTACAGTCTCTGCCAGGCCACATAGTTTAAGACCTGCTCTGGCGTCCGGCGCTCGCTGGGAGGGCAAAGCTTCGAGAAGTCCTTCGGACCGGGGGCACTGTTGAGGGCTTAGGGATGAGGGATTAGGGCTTAGGGCCTAGGGGTTTAGGGTAGGGCCAGGGGCACTGTTGAGGGCTTTGGGATGAGGGGTTTAGGGCTTATAGGGCTTACGGGTTAAGGATTGTTTTAAATTTAAAACAATGGGCTGAGGGTTTAGGGGTTTAGGGCTTTGGGATTAGGGGATTAGGGCTTTGGGATTAGGGTTTTGGGTTTGGGGGTTTAGGGCTTAGGGCTTAGGGGTTTAGGGTTAGGGCTTAGGGCTTCGGGATTAGTGTTTAGGGCTGCGGGCTTAGGGTTTAGGGGTTTAGGGCTTAGGGATTAGGGCTGCAAGGGCTTAGGGGTTTAGGGTTTAGAGTTTAGGGGTTTAGAGTTTAGGGTTTCGGGGTTTCGGGTTTAGGGGTTCGTTTGAGGTTTAGGGTTTAAGGTTTAGGGGTTTAGGGTTTAGGAAAGTTTAAAGGGCTATCGGGGGATAAACCGATATGAATAGCTCCCTAAGGGTCCAGAGGACGTAATAATTGTGTACTTGGGCTTGGGGTGGTAGTTTTGTAGGTTAGTCTTTGGGAGGATATATGATAAGGGGCTTTAGCCTTTACGTTAGATTTAACCCTTAGCATCAAAAAAGCTCAAAAGCCTTTTTGAATAGGGTCTTTGGGCCCCAAAACCTTACAAAATATGAGCCCTTTGAGGGTAAGGGTCAGGCCTAAACCCTGAAACCCTACACCCCAAACCCCTAAACCCATAGGGAGTCTAGGGGGGTTGCTTGGAGAAGAGTGGAAGGGGTTTCTCTAAGGCGTCTTCTTCTGGGTGTAGGCTGTTTGGTGTCGCATGTTCCAAGGTATAGGATAATTCTGTGCGGGGGTTCAGGGTTTAGGGTCCTAGGGTTTAGGGTTTAGGGTTCCCCAGGGTTTGGGATAAGTGTTTTTTGGAGTTGCCTACTATGATCCCGATTATACTTCTAAAACTAACTTGCCGGTAAAACTCCCGGCAGTCTGATCGTGCGAGGAGGCCCCCTTCCAAATGTAATGTTGCGAGAGATTTCCCAAACCGTGCAAGTATGCAAATATACAGTAACCAGGTGCGCAGAAGTGTCTGAATAACTACTCATAGGCTCCATTGTAGTTCCTTTTTGTGGTTTATATCCAAGATCCTATAACATACATAATCCCAGTCAGAATCAGACCCAAAGAGGAACTACTATGGAGCCTATGGGTAGATTAGGGGTACTTTTTTGTGTGCCAGTTCCCGACGAGCCACTCAGTCCCCAAGATGAGTTGGGTCAAGGGCTGTATGCTGCAACATGCATTAGGTTTTAGGTTTTAGGTTTTAGGGTTTAGGTTTTAGGCTTTAGGGTTTAGGGTTTAGGGGTTTACGGTTTAGGGTTTAGGCAGATTGTTACTTAAGCAAAAAAAGTCCTCATGGGACTAGTGTTAAGGCCGAATCTTGACACTTTCCCTTACCTTCAAAGGACTCATAGTTTAAGAATTTTGGGCCCAAAGACCCTATTATAAAAAGGCTTTTGGGCTATGTTGATGCTAAGGGTTTGCCTGTGATATAAAACGCGAAAGGTTCAACGACTGCATGATATGCAAGCAACTGTGCTCCTTAGGAACTCCCTGGCCAATCTCAACTCTCGCCTCCTAAAGGTACTACCCGCATGCCCTCGCCGCGCGTGTCTACCAATCCTAGCACCGGAAACTTTTATTATAGGGGCCTGAATAATTACCAAT